GAACAACATTGCCACCTAGTTGTAAGGATGCTGCTACAATTCCCTCTCGTCGAAAGATAAAATCACATCTCCTTGCAATCAAAACTCAATGGAGGACACAGATAAACCTCCAAGTGGCCTCAACAACCCTCTAAAAGGGTGCAAATGACCAGCTGGCTGCAAGGCCTCCTTCCTGTCAGAGCTGAAGAAGCTTCTTGGATGAGAAGTGAAACATCTTCAAAAGAAAAAAAACAAGAAAGCCCAGTTGCCTCCTGAAAAAAAGCACCTTTGGGACAACCACGATCCTGTCAGCTGTTCATCTTCCTCCTTGGATTCAGACTCCAACAAGGGCATGACAAGAGGAGAGGAGAGGAGAGGAGAAGAGAAGGGAGGAGACAAGACAAGACATTTTTTTCCGGATTTTTGGAGCATCACATATGAATTTGATGTTTATTGCTTTTTTTTTAAGTGTTCAAAAAACTTACAGATGGGGTAATGTCAGTCCAAATCCAATGCTGTTGGGCATACTAACAGTGTATAGCTATGACAGTAGTAGGTGTCTGAATCTGACAATATGAAATAATTACCGAAAAACAAAGATATAAACATGTGCGTGATGATGCCTTAACATCAAACCAAACAACAGCAAAGTCAATAAGATTGTCATTTCTAATATTTATCAACGCAAAAAAACCCACGTGGTGAATTTCAACCGTTATTTTCCAAGGAGCCAGCATAACTTTTTAAAAACAAAGAACCTTTGCTTATTTAATGCAGCCAACTCTTATTTTTTAAAAATAACCACACTACATCAGGGAGGGGAGACATGCTAGTTTGTTATGCTTTTCTTTCAAGGGTCAAATGAATTAATTCAACGAGGACATTAAAAATGATCTTTCAGAGATCATTACCATTAAAAATGGAACTGTTCTCCTCCCCCAGGATGAAAGAGTTATTTAATTGAGTTACATTTGTAGTGCAAATACCCCTAGAAGTGCAGATTTACTTCAATCAGTGGCAAACCACTCAATGAGTCTCATCATCATCGTGTAACTAGGTTAAAACTTTTAAAATCACCAACATGCACATTTGTTTGAAAACAAATACCGGTAAATGTGATCTTAACCAATCATTCTGATTAAAATTTTGATTGCACAGTGATGAATCCTAGAATATTTGCTGACTACCTGGAGTCTTTTAACTATCCCAATATTCAACAGACAGAAAAAGGATATATTTTCAGTGCACAACGATGCCTGCACTCCTAATGAAAAACAATATTTTTTTTTAATAAAACTGTTTTAAAACCATAATCTTCTTCAGTGTAATATGCTTCTAAGTGCAACATGTATAGGAATATCTTTGATTTGTTAAGTGGCTCTGGAATTTTTAAAGGTGATGTTTGAAGTGTTATCAACTACAATTGCTTGATACCTGACTGAGCAACTGGAATTAAAAGGGGAAACAACTAGCTTTGCATTCAGAAAACAAAGGCTTGTGGCACAATGAATCAAAAATAAATAATACAACATTTTAAGGCATAGTCAACTATAAAGATATGAAAGCTTGAGATTCTGCCAATACAGAGAAAAGGAAAGCTATCTCCTTGACCCTGATATCAAAGCATTCAACCATGATACATCATTAGATTAAAAGTAACAGAAAACCATATTTATCACATTGGCAACAACAAAGAGTAGTCCCCAAAATTATAGGGTGATGTTTGGCTTCTTCGTGGTTCATGATGTCAGTGTCCCCCTGGCAAGTTTTAAAAACACACTGAGTAAGTAGAATTCACTTTCCTCTTTGGAGAAAGAATTACACATTAGCCCCTGAAATGGGAAATAAATCACTCCAGCATGCTCCTAAAATTGAAATTCCTTGAGAAATTTGCAGCCCTTGAGGTTTAGCCTGGAATTTCCTCCAAACCCTTTTGGTGTAACCTCGGTGAAACCCTTAGAATGACAAGCAATTACCATAGGGTAATGGACTCCAGAAGTTTACAACCAGGTGGAAATGTGTCAAATTATAACAAAGCTTAAAAATTGTCCTGCGTGTTGTACTCTGTAGGTATACTATGTGAAAGAAAAATGGGACGTAGTAGATGAGCAAGATCTTAAGTAAGCACTGTAACACTTTCCTCCTCTGTGCAACACGATTTGAGAAACGAAGAAAAGGTAAGGCATGGGCAATACAAAAAATTCTAAGAGTTGCTTAAGAAAAGAGTTGCTGAGCCTTAAATTCTCAGTTAGCGGCATTTGTGCGTCCTTGCTCGGAGGGAAGAGTTTTTCCACTGGAGTTTACTGGCTGCATGTGGAATTCCTTGAGATTTTCTAACAGTGCTTTCCTCTCCAGTTCCAGAGCGCGGATGGTCTGGTTCAATTTGCCTTCACTGTTAAGCAGAACCTCGATCATGGCTTCCAGGTTTTGGATCTTCCCATTAGCCACCTTGAAAAAATAGACAGGAAACAAGGATATTGATGACAATGAAAGAATATACAACACTAGTAATCAACAAGGCCCACTCGTCAAGTCTCAGCTGTCAACCCTGAATGGACATGGTCAATGACAACCGATATTGGGGTTAATTCCAAATTTTTGGAGGTCACCAGGGCAACCATCCCTGACTACTCGACAGGTTTCCACCCATGTCAGATGAAAGTCCAGTTGCCTCCTGGAAAAAAAACAACAACACTTTTGGGACAACTATGACCTGGATGACTGAGAATCTCTACAGACTTTTAGCTGTACAATTTGGGATGAACAGCCTTTGAATATTGGAGTATGAATGGATTTTCAAAACATTGCAGACTACAGGAACCATTTGCACTACTCAGGTGACCCTAAGGACACAGATAAACCTCCAAGTGGCCTCAATGACTCCCAGAAAGGATGCAAATGACCAGCTGTCTGCAAAGAATATAAATCCTTCCATTCCCCACCATCCAGTCAGAGCTGAAGAAGCTTCTTGAATGAGAAGCAAAATGTCTTCAAAGAAAAAACAAGGAAGTCCAGTTGCCTCCTGAGAAAGCAACTTTGGGACAACCATGTCGTATGAAACCACACCGGATTCGGGCTGGAACTTACATGCAGAGTGAAGATGGAATGAAAAACAGATTTTTAGACTTTACTAATAGGTGTTACCTAAATCCCATTCCGATTTGGGATTTCTACCTTGTTTGAGAACAAGTGAATGAGTTGGACTTCCTGTTGCAGTAGATCATTTTAACGTCTACAGGATATAAATAATTGGGTTGAAATTTGGGAATCCCCAAAGAACTGATCCTTAATGTCCTTTTCTCCAGTCATTAGGATGTTTTATTTATCTAATTTATACAGCTGGCCATCTCATAAATATTTGACTTTGGGTAGAGTCCCACCAAACTAAAACAATGAATATGTACAATCATTATCGTTAACAAATATTAAAAATATTAAAAAAACTATTTAAAACATTAAAATATCAATAATATTTGTAATACTTTTTTAAATGTTCAGTTGACTGAGTTTCATGTTTAATGAATAAAAGTATAATAATAATAATAATATAAAAACTACTGGGAACATCAGGTTGAGAAGGTTCTGGAGAATGAAAAAGTCAAGATCTTGTGGGACTTCAGAATTCAGACTGACAGGCACTTGGTCCACAACACGCCTGACATAACAATAGTTGAAAAGAAAAAGGGTTGGTTCATTGACATTGCAATACCTGGCGATGCATAAATTGTAGACACACAGGAAGAAAAAAATCACAAACTATCAGGACTTACAAATTGAAATTAAGCCACTTCAGAAAAGGAAACCATGTGTTATCCCAATTGTAATTGGAGCCCTTGGAGCCATACCGAAAGGGCTACCCGGCTATTTGGAAATTCTGAATTTATCAGACTTGAATACCCTGATTCTACAAAAAAAGCCACCCTACTTAGAACAGCTTATATCCTCTGATGCTACCTGAACAGTTCCTAGGTCCTTGGTTAGGACTCGAGCTGCTGAGCTACCAACCAGCCCCAAAGGCTGTGAATCTTACTAAAAATTAACCAACAATAATAATAATAGAATAATAGACAAAGGGATCTTAATAGTAATAGTTCTTTGCTCGATTCTTTTCTCGCAGACATTTAACTACCCAACTAAGTGACAGCATCAGTACCAGAAGGGAGTGGGGTTTATTCTATTTATATACTGATGCCTCCAAGTATATAAAACCCTTAAATCTTAAATCAGGAACATCATTTTGAATTTGTGTGTGTGTGAAATCTTATGGCTAGCCCAATTGGTTTATAGAAAAAAAATAGTGCAAATTAATTTTTGACAAAGGGAAACTTATTCATTGTTGATAGCATCCAACAGAAATAAATGCAACTCCTCTCTTGACTTGCTTAATATCTTGTTTAATGTGTGGACGCGTGAAATTCAGCCCATACCTGCAGCTCTTCAAGGAGATCAAAGTTTTGCTTCCGCAAGTTACTGTTGGCCTTCTCAAGTTTATCCATCCTTTGATTGTCATTGAGAGAGGAATCTATTAATTCATCCTGAAGGACATGGTATTCAACTTCATAAGCTTGAAGCTGTTTGGAAATATCCATCTCAAATACCTGCCGTGGGAAGAGAAAAATAAACAGAAAACCATCTGAACGTCAAATTTGTCTCCTCGTATCATATTAACAAAACCAGGGGATTTGAGAATGCCAGTATTCTCCTTTCCTGTCTATCCTATCCTTCTGCAACCTCCTGGCTAGGAAAGTCAATGGGGAAACCAGATTCACTTAAGAATCATTTTACTAACTTAAGAACTGCTTTAAAGCAGTGGTCACCAACTACTGGTGGTCCACGAGAAAATTTTGGTGGTCCACAGAGAAATGTCACCCCCAAAGCAATTAATCCAGGCTGCACGGGAACACAAGGCTGCGCCACCTACATGGCCTGCAAGAACACAAGGCTTGCGTCGCTTGCATTGCGAACACCATGAGGTAGTGAGGGGAGGGAGGAAAGGGCGGAGGGGAGGAACTTGCCCCATTTGCCCCATGCACCTCGCCTGGCCGCCGGGCTGTTTCTTTCCGCTTCTTCTGCTTTTGGCTGCATGCAAGGAAAGCAGCCAAAGTCTTTCTTTCTCTCCCCCAAACTCCACCAGAAATGAGTCTTTGGGACCCTGCAAGGCCTCCTGCTCCAAGAGGCTGCACCAGCATTACAAGTCTTACAAAGACTCATTTCTGGTAGAGTTTGGGGGAGAGAAAGAAAGACTTCTGCTGCTTCTGCTGTTTTCCTTGCATGAAGCCAAGTCTCCCTCCCTCCCTGAGAACGGAGCTAGAGACAGTATCCTGTGATCCCAAATGAAGAATGATTGATCGGTAGGAAAACAGGGTGGGGGAATTTCCCTGCAGACTTTTTTGGGGATTTTCCAAGGGTTTCTGGTCCGGGGGATTTAAAATTATGAGTTTGGTTGTCCCTGAGGTCCAAAAGGTTGGTGACCCCTGCTGTAAAAAGTTGAAGATGGGGTGAGATTCTACTGGTTCGGAGCGGTTCGGGCGAACCCTTTGCTCCAGTGATCAACTGGCTTCAAACTGGTTCACTGGGGGAATCCCACCTTTGGTTAAAGACTAGTGAAATGTTGGTGCCCAAGTATTCTAAAGCAGCAAATCCGAAGCACTGCCAATCAGAAAGAATGCTCATCTTGTAGTTGCACAGTTGAGATTGGACACACTGATTTAAATCTATTTTTTTTTAATGAGAAAAAGTGAAGAGGATTGACTTTTATTGTTTGAGATATCCCATGATGCACCTCTCTGTTTTTACTCTTTCACAAATGATTTTGCGTGAGAGAAAGATTAGGCTGGCCCGTGCTGCGTCAAATTTGCCATTTAAAAAAAAAAAAAAAACGTACACAGAGCATTTGCATTACGTTTCTTAGGATATTCACGCTAATCTCTGCAGGAGATAGGATGTTGTTCAAGCTTACTCCAAAGCTTACTCTGTGCCAAATAAAACAGGAAGGCGCGGTGAGGAATATAGCCCCCTCCCCTTCAACGCAAAACATCTTAAAACAGATCTGGCTATTGTTTAGAACGATGTTAATTCTGTAGAAGGAAATTCCAACCAAATAAAGCTGCAGTTCGGCTAGGAAAAAAAAACTGGTCTCAATTACACGAGGAAGTTGTTCTAAATTTTGCAGCTTCTACTTTTCCCTGGCAACACTCCACTTCATACCTGGTTAATGGTTTTTTCCATCTGTACCAAGCCTAGATTGGGAAGAATACTTTTAATGAAGTCAACGATTGTTTCCAGGTTTTCATGCTCCAGAATCAAAGGCTTATGGCTTCCCAAAAGGCTCAGGGCCACTTTAAATAGAACTTCTGGTCCTTGGAGAAGCATCAAGTCTAGGGAAGAGAGGAGAAACATTAGGAAGAGAGTTTGAAGAGGATTCTATTCGATCCCTGAAGTTTCTGTTCATTTATTCTTTAGTTATAGCTACAAAATTTCCCCCCAAAATAAGACCCGGTCTGATTTCTTTTAGTCTTGGAAATAAGCACTCGGGCTTATTTTCGGGGAGGTTTTAATTTTTTTTTAGGTGCAGGAGGTGGCGAGCACAGGAGGCCGACAGGAGTGGGAACGCAACTACTGCTGGCCCCACCCTCTCCATCCCACTGTCTGCTTGCCTGTGACTGCAATGGGCCAAACTCTCGGCATGCTCCATCCTCCACCCATGTGGGGCACCTCTATGTCCCCACCCCTGCCGTAGCTTGATTTTTACACTTGCGCCTTGCCCCACCTCATACATCCAGAGGTAGTTGGGGCTTAACTAGGGCTTATTTTGGGGGATAGGGCTTATATTGGGCACACATGGGAAAAAACCAAGCTAGGGCTTATTTTCGGGATAGGTCTTATTTTCAGGGAAACACAGCAAACAGCCTGGAACCTGTTGGATCACTGTTTCAGAGATACTTTTTCATCAAAACAGAGACACAGAACGACCACAGGTGGCCCAAAAAGCAACAGAGTGGGAACAACTTGAAACTTCCAATGGGCTTGTCCAATGATGTTCCTTGTAGGAAAGTGATAGGTAGTGGCTGGAAATGACAATCACATGAACATAGTGTGGTGGCACACTGCGATTGGAATGCAACGATGAAGCAGCACTGAAGTAGCCCACAGCTTTGTATGGTCATCAGTCCCTGTTTTCAGTGCCGTTGTAACTTCGAATGGTCACTAAACAAATTGTGGTAAATCCAGGACTACCTGTATAATACGTTTACTGATTTTTTTTGTCAGGTTCTCATGAGACGTTCAGGGATTCTGGGAATTGAAGTCCACAAGTCTTATAGTTGCCAAGTTTGAAGGCCCTTGGTCTACTTGGCAAGGTTTGTGGTTCTTCCTTCCTGTCCTCTTTCTTTCTTTCTTTCTTTCTTTCTTTCTTTCTTTCTTTCTTTCTTTCTTTCTTTCTTTCTTTCTTTCTTCCTTCCTTCCTTCCTTCCTTCCTTCCTTCCTTCCTTCCTTCCTTTTCTTTGTCCCCTCCCTCCCTTTCCTTCTCCCCTCCCTCCTTTCTCTTCTTTTTTTGCTTTTACAGTACCCCTCCCCCACGCCTCGTTTTTGGCCTAGTGGACCTCAGGGAAGCCTCCTGGGAGCTGAAAAAAAAGCAGCATTTTGAAGTGTGGGGGAACCAGCTGTCCCGCACGATTTAGATTAGCTAGAAAGCAAGAAATCCAGTGATTTCCTGCTTTCCAGCTAATCTAAATTGCACAGCACAGATGATTGTTGCCCAGCTGATTGCCAGAAATACTGGTTCGGCCAAACTGGTAGATTATTTACTACCGATTTGGCTGAACCGGAAGAATATCGCCACTGTCTAGAACCTCTCCTCTTCTCACAAGGTGGCCAAAGTCATTCATGGTCCAGACACCCTTATTAGGATGACTTACCGAACACCCTGGCGACAAAACCCAGGGGAAACTGAGAAGCAAACAGGGTCAGAAACCACGGGGCTGCGTAGAGGCTGGGGCTGATCTCGTTGGCTTCAAAGTGATCGTAAAGATCTTTGTGGTAATCGTGGAGGAGTCGAGAGAGCTGATACATCTGGATCTGCCAAGGGAATTTAAAAAGAGAGAGAGAGAGAGAGAAGTAAACGCGGAGGAAAGAAGAATTAAAACTTCTTTACGCTTCAGTCGTCAGCGGTGGATGGATGGATGCCATCGGGAGGTGTGGCTGAAGACAGTTCTCAACTTACGACAGTTCATTTAGTGACCGAAGTGACTACATCACTAAAAGATGCGACTGGTGACCATTTTTCACACTTATGACGCCTTGCAGCATCCTCATGACCAAGATTTGGAGCACTTGGCTAACTGACTCATGTTTATGACCATTGCGGGCTGCTGACATTCCTAATAAAGGAATTTTTGAGTTCCCATCAGAGGGTTTGTCACGTTTGGGGAGCTGCATCAGACACATTAAATTTGTTAAGTCAATCACACAATTGTTAATTGTGAATCTGGCTTCCCCACTGACTTTGCTTCTCAGAAGTTTTGGGGCTCCATGTTCTGACCTCAAAAAGCACTAAGCAGACTCTTTGTCCTGGCAAAACCCCTTTTATTAAACGAAGGTGAATTTCTTCATTCACATTCAGCCAAAGGCCTGGCCAGCAGACTTTCAAGAGTGTAATTAGGAGCACAGACCTTATCTAGCTTGGAGAGTTGCCAAGTAAATATTTCCAAATGCAGTGCAGACAAGGAAGGCCTCAGCACAGAGTCTCTGAGATGCACAGACAGACCTTCACACTGCTGGAATGAATGAATTGTTTCCAGCAAAAGCCCCCTCCCCTTTTGCTCCTCTTTTAATCCCTATGAGAGGGGACATTCGCTGTCCACCTGTGGCTTTAGTCCCATGCCAACCCTTAGTTCATAATTGTTCTTTTCTTTTGGCAGCTCTGCACATGCGCAAGCTGGGAACCAGCTCCAGTGTTCCCCCGCCTCACTGCTATCTGACTCCAAAGGCAGCTGATGACTATCAGCCTGCCCTGGCCCCATCTCTGCCTCTGACGTAGAGCCCTCGTCTGAACCTTCTTCAGCCTCCAGGACTGGCCCAGGTTTCTCCCCAACCTCCTCACTGTTCGATTCTGCTGCCAGCTCTGCTAGCCACTGGCTGTTGTGGTCCGCTGGCATCCTGCAGAGCTGGCAGCAAAGTCGGACAGTGGGGAGGAACATGGGCCAATCCTGGAGTCTGGAAAGGGCTCGGATGAAGGATCTGCATCTGACACAGAGATGGGGCCAGGGCCCTCTGAAAGTTATGTGCTAACTCCAGAGCTTCCAGAATCTGACATCAGCAAGGCAGAGAAACAGGGGGAGCCTGTTTCCAGTGTGCACTTGTGCAGAGCTGCCAGAAGGCAAGAACAAAAGGGGCGACTTGGGAATAAGGCTTGGAGATGATTGACCCCTTCCATAAGACATAAAGGAGGAGCAAAGGGACAGGAACCTTTGCAGGAAGCAACTATTTGTTCTGGTCAGTTTAAACTCTGAAGGTGGATGCTTATCAGCCTTATCCCGAAGGACTGTGGAAGACTTCTGTTGGACTATTCATAAACTGTTTGGGACTCATTACGGGCTGTGAATGCATATAATTCACAGCCATTGGAAATAAAAACAAGGTTTTGGGGAACAGCGTGTGATTGTTACTGTCTCAGGAAGCCTTGATCAGAACACCAGCGGGCCACAACACTCCATGGTGGTTGTATGTCGAGGGCTTCCCTGTATAGGGTTCTCGCAATTGGGTGCAATACTAAATAAATGTAATGCAGGTCCTTTACCTGAAGAATCGTCATGTCCGGTCGGTATTGCTTCCGAAGGCCCAATTCAAACATCAGGAACTTCAGCATCTTAAAGGCTTCCTCCTCGCTCATGTGTAGTAACAACACTCCGGCCACAAAACTGAGGCCTTGACAATAGCCCACTTCCGGATCCAGGAGGGAGTAGGCCTTCAGGATATTATAGAGGGACAGCTGACCAGCTCCAAGCTGGGATGAGAAGTAGGGATGGGTCGGGAAAGTGCGACCTATGAGAGAGAGAGAGAGAGAAAAAAGAGACGGCCATGGACACAAATCAGCCGTACTGTTGTGCAAAACACTTCCCAATTATGAAAACAACCCCAACAACCCGTAACTGATTGTGAGGTGAGAGCTCCGCCTCTAGGCCACCACACCACTCCCTAAGAAATATCTTCGATACATACCATAATCTAGTCCTAAGTGAAATATGACCCCCCCTTTTTATTTTCAAATGCAAAATGTTCCAAGTTTAATACCAGATTTACTTCTGGGCAGGCTTACCTAAATCAATCAGAATTGCATGCTGCTGGGAAGTCAGCTGTTTTAAGAGTTCTTTGTACGGCGTGTCCTTTGGCTGTTGCTTATTTGGGAATGGGTGCTTGAGTTGGTGCAGCTCTACTAAGAACTTCCAAATCTCTCCCCGTTGTTGCCGAGGAACCCCTTTTCAAAAGATGTTAAGAGCAAAAAGAATGAATCGCGGTAAATGAGACACCGACACACAGTATGTACAAGCTCCCTGCTTTAAAAAGAAACCATTGCTTTCAATGGGGATATCCTTCCAGAATGACCTTGAAATGCTGCTAGGATAAGCTCATTTATCCTGGAGTATTTTTCACATAGCTAATGCCACCAGCAAGGAGCTGAGAGGACTTCAACTCCCAGAATTCCTTAGCCAGCATAGCTGGGAGTTGGAGTCCAAAGTCTTAAAGTTGCCAAGTTTGGGGGCCTTTGCCCTATAGTGGCAAAGATGGGTATTCAGCTGGTTCGGACTAGTTCTGGAGAACCGGTAGTGGAAATTTTGAGTTGTTCGGAGAACCGGCAAATCCCACCTCTGGTTGGCCCCACCCCATCTATCCTCTGCCTCCCATTGAGTCCCAGCTGATCGGCTGGGTCTTCTTTGGTTGCCCTGCACAGGAGAACGGAGCTGGAAAGCAGGTTAGTGGGATGGGGGAGGGAATGGGGATTTTGCAGTAACCTTCCCCTGCCACGCCCACCAAGCCACACCACGCCCACCAAGCCATGCCCACAAAAATTGAATCCCACCACTGTCTAGTGGGGTCCTTGGTGCTGTCTGAGCTTGGTTGTTGTCTTGCAGACATTCCATTACCCAACTAAGGGACATCACCAGTGCTGGAAGGGAGCAGGGTTTGGAGAGGAGGAGGAGGATGTGGAGGAGGCCTGGGAGGTCTTTGGCGTTCTCTGAGCTTGGTGGCTTTCTAGCAGATGTTTGAAAAAGGTAATAATAGGCTTTCCAAAGGGCCAGTACCCTCACCTTTCTCCACAGCAGAATGTATTTTCTCCATGTCCAACTTGATCTTTGACCTTCCTGGCGTGGTCAGCAATTTATCCCAGACAGACAGGACTTCTTTGAGACACGGAGTCATTTCTTCATAATCAAGCTTCAGGCGCTTATTGAGCAGATCGTTTTCAGAAGCTGGGAGGGGGGGAGGGGCGGGGAAAGGCGAACAGGTTAAAGACAGCCGCCCCTGTGAAGGGCCACCAACACATTTTTTGCAAATGTCTGTGTCTGTCTGTCTGTCTATCTAATTTATATAGCCACCCATGACATGAAAACCAACTATCATCTGGCTATCATCTGTCTGTCTATCATCTCATCTGTGTTTATGTGTGCCTGCCTGCCTGCCTACCTACCTATCATCTATCACCCATCTATTATCTCTCTATCTAATATCTTTCTTTCTATCTATCTATCTATCTATCTATCTATCTATCTATCTATCTATCTATCTATCTATCTATCTATCATCTATCTACCTCTCTACCTCTATCTAATCACTATCTATCTATCCATCCATCCATCCATCCATCCATCCATCCATCCATCCATCTAATCTCTCTCTATTTATCTAATCTCTATCTTTCTTTCTTTCTTTCTTTTCTTTCTTTCTTTCTTTCTTTCTTTCTTTCTTTCTTTCTTTCTTTCTTTCTTTCTTTCTTTCTTTCTTTCTTTCTGTCTGTCTGTCTGTCTGTCTGTCTGTCTGTCTTTCTATCTATCTATCTATCTATCTATCTATCTATCTATCTATCTATCTATCTATCTATCTATCTATCTATCTATCTATCTAATTTATATAGCCACCCATGACATGAAAACCACCTATCATATGGCTCTCATCTGTCTGTCTATCATCTCATCTGTGTCTATGTCTGCCTACCTGCCTACCTACTTATCATCTATCATCCATCTAGTATCTATCTATCTACCTACCTACCTACCTACCTACCTACCTACCTACCTACTATATAATTTATAAAGCAACTCTGGGTGACCTACAACAATTCAGTAAATCAGGCATCATGTACAACCATTTTGTAATAATTGTTAAACATACGGATGAAAGATTGTTTTTGTTTCAAACATCCCTCCTTGTTCAGATATGCAATGGAGGGAGCTTTGGGGCCAGGACTGAGAGCAGAAGCGACCTTGGTTCACGATTTAGACACAAGAAATAGCCTGGGCAAGGCTTTCCCTACATTGCACCCAAGATAGCAGGGCAGAGGGGTGGACTAGAAAACCTCCAAGTTCCCTTCCAACCTTGGGACGCTTAGTCTCAAGACAACCCTTCTTTCTTGTACCTGCTGCAGCCTCTAAGAACTATCCAAGTATGAAGATCCCCATTTTCCTTCCATTTGAACCAAGAAAATAGCAGCATTGAACCAACTTTGGATGCTGTTACAGATTCAATTATACAACATCTGAAACATCTTAATATATGTGGAGGAAAAAGCCCGGATGGCTTTGATTGATTTTTAAAAAGCAAGATAAATAGGTGAGACTCTTTGTAGCTTAGGGTTGAAATGAGGGCTCCTTGGTGCTCTCTGAACTTGGTTGCTTTCTTGCAGATCGTTCATTATCCAACTAAATACCCTCTTTCCCCAAAATACGACCTACACTGAAGTAAGTCCTAGCTTAATTTTTACACGTATGCGCAATATAAGCACTACTCCCAAAAATAAGCCCTACTTAAGATTCCACCCACTCCAGAGGGGATCAGTAAAAATTAAGCTAGGGTGGGGAATAGGGGGGATGGAGTTGCCCTACTACTTACCTTTGGACAGTTGTAGCCAGGCCTGGCACACCCCGACACCTGCCTTGCTGGCCCAATTCTTCTGCAGCCAGCAAGGCTGGGTAGGCTTTCTCGAAGGCCTCTGTAGCTGATAACAAAGCTCTGGATCGATCCAGAGCTCTCTTATTGGCTGCAGAGGCCTTCAGGAAAGCCTTGCTGGCTGCAGAAGAAGAAGTTCCTGAAGGCCTCTGACAGCGAAAAGGAGGCCGGGGGCGACGTGCGCAAGTGAGGTTAGTCAGTAGGTGACATCACCCGAAAGTAAGACCTGGTGCCTTTTTTGGTGGCAAAAATATATAAGACAGGGTCTTATTTTCGGGGAAACACGGTAGAATTTTTTGGGAGAGATTTGGTATTTACCTTGCAGTTTCTGATTTTCCTTTTCCATCCTAAGAAGAAGGATGTGCTGGAGAATAGCTTTTTTCCAAAGCTCCCTCAACTCCTTGGGTGTCTTTTTTCTGTCTTCTTTGGTTGCTCCGAATGGTCCGTCTTCGCAAACTGGCTGTAACGGTGATCTAGGGGCCAATTCTCCCAGTTCGGAATAATCTTATTCAATAAAAAGAGAACCAAAAGTTCTTTTTCTTTATTTGAACATTTGTCTGAATCCCTAGATCAATCCTAGCCTTGGGGAAATAATTATCAGAAGAGGAACGGCAAGCTGGAAACTGAAAATCTTACAAGACCCTTTATCAACTAATAGTGTAGTAAATACCTTCATGTCCATGGAGATTCTCATTCATGCAGGTCATGGTTGTCTCAAAGGTGCTTTTTTCAAGAGGCAAATGGACTTTCTGGTTTTTCTTTGAAGACGTTTCGCTTCTTATCCAAGAAGCTTCTTCAGTTCTGATGTGAAGAACTGAAGAAGCCTTTTGGACGAGAAGGGAAAATATCTTCATAGAAAAAGAGTAGTGAACTTTATCATTAGCCCCAAGTGACTGTGTTTAGCTAAGAATTTTCTACAAACTCCACTCATACACAGAATTGAACAAATCATTTGGCCCTGCAAAATATATCCAACTCAGCAATTAGATCTGAAAGAACTGCACGAATGGTTTTTGCCACCCAAACCAAGATCTACTGTCATGTTAGACCAGGGGTGGGATTTCAGCCAGTTTGGGCAAACTGGATGTTAATTTTACGTATGGTTTGGCGAAATGGTAATTCCGATGACTGGCTGACCCCGCCCGTTCCCTCCCCTCCCAGGAGTCCCAACGTGGCCTGTTTTGGATCCCAAGTAATTGCAGGGGGCGCATGGAGCCCGGGCAGGTGGAAAAGAGGTCTCCCAGAGGCTCGTAGAGGGCAAAAATGGGCCTGCTTCTGGCCTCCTGGAGGCTCAAGGAATGCCTCCAGAGCCCGGGGAGGATGAAAATGCCCCCCCCCCGATGCAGGAGGCCAACTAGGCCATGCCCACCATGGCCATGCCCACCTAGCAACCAGGCAGAGAATCTAACATTGCTAACATTTTTAAATCTCACCCTTGTGTTAGATCTTTGACAATCATTTGTGCTTTGCTTTCCTACCTTCGTCCGGCAAATATCGAAATTCCCCAAAAGATAGATTGCAATTTAAAAAAAAAAAAATTCCACAGTATTTGAGAATCAACAAATTTGTTTCAATATAATCCGATAATCGAATAACCCAATATTTTTTTCTAGACTTACAAACAAAATGAAGAGCGCCATCTACTGTATCAAATGAAACACGTGCAAGAGGCATTTGAATCTGAATATTTATTTGGCCAAGTGTGACTGGACCAAGGGTTTCAAACTCGATTTCATCGAGGGCTGCATCAGGCTTATGTTTGATCTCTGGGGGGGGGGGGCGTGGCCAAGGGGGTGTGGCCAGCTTGACATCACTTGTGTCGGGGGTACCTGCTAAGGGAGGACTTCCCTCAGAGTCAGACCCTCCCTCCTTCTCATTATAACCTTCCTTCCTTCCTTCCTTTCCCTCCCTCCCTCCCTCCCTCCCTTCTTTTTCCTTCCCCCTTCATTCTCCTTTCTTCTTCCTTGCCCTCTTTCCTTCTTTTTCCTTCCTTCCTCTCCTCCCTTCTTTCTCTTTTTCTTTCCTCTTCCCCTTTCTGCTTTCCTGCCCCTTCTTGGATGCTCAGATGCAAAAGGGGAAACATTTTTCCTTTGGTTTTGTTTTTAGTTTGTTTTGCTAGCTCTCTGCCACTAGTTAAAAGCTTAATTCAGTCTATTCTACTGGGCGGGGGCGGGGGGCAGGCGGGGAGCAATAAAGAAAAATTGGATTCATTTTACCTTCATGCCAACCAGAAGGGTCGCATCCTTTTTGGGGTGTTGCCACTCTTAAAAATATCTGCTGCCTCCAAGAATGCCGTCGAGCCTTCACTGGGGTCTCGGGGACCAAATCTGCTTCATTGGATATGTTATGTCTAAAATCAGAAGTCACAGAATTTATTTATTTTAGCTACCATTGAAAGACATTTTCTCCCCTCCCGGATGAAACAAAGATATGAATTCTTTAAAGAATCTCAACAGCAAATCAAAATCGAAAAGAAAATTACTCGGCTTAATTCTTTAAATGATGAGCTTCCTGACAGAAATTACTCAATGGTGGGTGTTTTGAATCGTCAAAAATATTCAGCAATAACATCCTCCTGCTGCTTATACCGCATTTCCCCAAAACTAAGACCTATCCTGAAAATAAGCCTGAGCTTGATTTTTTACACTTGCACCCTCTCACCGTTCCAGCAAAACCAGATCCCAATCAACAACTCTGAGACGGGCATTTTCCCAAAGTTTCTTTTTATTGGAAAACGTCATACAGGCACTTCTGGGAAAATCCGAATCTGAGAGTTCCAGGTTTTCCCTCAGTAAATCAAAAATCAAAAACGAACACCCAACCCCTGCACCCATCAGTCCATCAAATGGTCCAACTGCCATCTGTCCCAACTGGAAACACGACCTTGACCGAAAAGAAGAATGCCGTTATGTCTAACTACTAACACTCTAAAAATCCCCCTCCTAAGTTCTCAGGCACAGGAATGTGGCAGCGTGGAAGTTTCTGGTTTTAATAGGGCTTTCAAATCTGACACATCCAATATAAGCCCTGTTCCCCAAATAAGCCCTAGTTAAGATCCCACCCACTCATTGTACCTGGTTGCATGCGGTGGGGCAAGGTTCAGGGGTGAAAATCAAGCTAGTGTGGGGATGGGAAGGGTGCACCTTCCCCACATGCCCCACACCTACCTACCTTAAGACAGTTGCAGGCGGGCCTCCCACACCCTGACACCTGCCTTGCCTTGTTAGCCCACTTCTTTTGTGGCTGCTTGCTGCCACTTATTTGCGTCACCGCCAGATAGTTTCACTCTCAACAGCCCTCAGGAACGTGTTAATCCAGAACTTGTTTCTCGGCTGCAGAAGCCTTTCCTGAAGGCCTTTGATGGTGAAATGAAGGCCGGGGGGTACTGCACCCGTCAATCCAGAGCTCGTTTCTTGGTTGCAGAGGCCTTTCTTGAAGGCCTCTGACAGAGAAATGGAGGTTGGGGGCACCAAATGCGAATGGTTGCAAGCGGCTGCAGAAGAAGTGGGCTGGTAGTGGCCATACGGGCGCCTGCTCGGCATGGCTGTCGGTGCCACCACTGCGGGGTGAGACAATGGAAGATATCCCCCCAAAATAAGACCTAATGCCTTTTTGGGAGGCAAAAAAAAGGAGACTGGGTCTTATTTTTGAGGAAACACCGTAGTTATCCCTGCTCATGACATCGAGATGTGTTTGTGCAAAGGTTTTGTACGGTGGACCGGGCCAAAAAGACGCGAGCCGGGCCCTTACATTTTCCAGGATGGCCCTGCAGGCCGGATTGGACCACATTGTGGGCCAGATCCAGCCCGTGGGCCTTGTATTTGACACCCCTGGTATAGAGCTTTGTAGATGATAACCAGAACTTTGAGAAAGCTAAACGCGGTCAGATATGATTTCCTCCACACATGTTCTGACCTAGGCTTCCCCAACAGCTGAGTCCTTATCCCGATAAAGCCCTTTTTTATTTCATTTACAATGAATATCCTCTCCAAAGTCCTGGCCAACAGTCTTGCAAGATAATACCCAATTACAGACCTTTATCAGGCTTGGAGAATGGCCAGGATGACATCTTTCAGATGCTGCAATACTTGCCAGAATGAACTAATTGTCTCCTGCAAAACCTCATTGCCCTTTCGCTCCTCTTTTATTCCCTAGGGCAGGGGCCATTCACCATCCATCTATGGCTTTACTCCTAAGTCGACCCTTGTTCCTCAGCTGTTCCCTTCGTCTGGCAGCTCTGTGCATGCGCACGCTGGGAACAGGCTCCAGCTGTTCTTCTGACTGATCTCTGACTCCAAAGGCAGCTGATAATTGTCAGATGGTCCTGGCCCCATCTTTGCCTCCGAAGCAGAGCCCTCTTCAGAGCCTTCCCCAGACTCCAGGACTGGTCCATGTTCCTCCCCAATCTCCTCACTTTCCGAGTTGTTGGGTCACAACAACACAATCCCACAGCTGTAGCCCAGGTCGTAGAAGAAAGCCATAGCCAGCCAGTTTTGTGCTGGGTCCAGGAACACGACATAGAGCTGATCTCAAATCTGAAGACAAATTTTCTTTCTCAGTTAAGCCCCAATTTCTTCCACCACTAAATGTGCCCTCTCAGGTCTGAAGTCATGTTTCTGAACCAGAGATCCCCTGAAAGATCCCCTGAAAGAACAGGTCCCCTACCTGGTAGGTTTCCTAAAGTCAGACGTGACATTTTCATCTACAGGAGCCAGGAATTTTAAGAAATTTGGTACGGAAGAGGAGGTGTGAAGCTTTTTCTGGAAAGAGGAACGGTAGGAGGTGCTGAGCATCGTTGAAAAGGGTGGCTCAGAGTGGGAGAAGTTTAGCGTGGTGGGTAAAACACAAGCACGGAAAGAAAAGAACAACACAGACAAGAAAGTAATAAGCAACAAATTAGGAAAAATATAATAGGTATGAAAAGAAAGCAAAGGCCAAGACTGCCAGCTGTGTAATTTTTTTAAGATAACTTCTTGGAGGCTCGTTCTGTTTTCAGGGAAGGCCACGAAACCACATTTCTGTCATTTTCTGTTATAAACACTGAAAACAGGGCTAAAAGAAGGCAGGATAGAGGAATCTCATAAGATGAGACTCCTGGTGTAAAGGATGAGTACCTGTACTAGAAACTCCTCCTGTGTCTATGTCCTATTATTTTTGTTTCAATTTTTTAACTGAAGGTGTATTAACATAATAATGACACATATTACGTACATCAGTAAGGGTCAATTTGGATTGTGGGTTCACATACATGCAATAAATGACAATAATGTTGTGACTGACTGAGCTGACGCTTATTTCAACCCGAGACTTTGACTAAGTTACACTAAACTTTATTTTATTTCTTCGTAGATTAGGTAAAGTTTCCCCTTGCACATACGTGCTAGTCCCGTGATGGCAAACCTATGGCATGCATGCTGGAAGTGGAGGGGGTCACACATACATCGCATTATGGGTGCAGACACGTGTGCACATTGTCATGTGTGCATGCGCGCACTTTTAACACACAATGACACAAAGGTTAGCCATCGCTGTGCTAGTCGTTTCCAACTCTACGGGGCAGTGCTCATCTCTATTACAAAGCTGACCACGTTCATGGTCAGGTGGCTTGCATGACTAAATGGCGAACGCTGTTCCCTTCCCACCAAAGGGGTCCCTGTTTTTCTACTTGCATTTTTGACGTGTTTTCGAACTGCTAGGTTGGCAGAAGTTGGGACGAGGAACAGAATCTCACTCCGTTATGTGGCGCTAGGGATTCGAACCGCCAAACTGCCAACCTTTCTGATCGACAAGCTCAGCGTCTTAGCCACTGAGCCACCACGTCCCTCTTCCTAGATTACATGGAGTTAATTAGTTACCTCATAACTAAGAGCTACATCATAGTAGCACGATAAAGGTTATTTTTTTCCAAGGGCTTGGAACTCTTGACTTATTTCCGTTGAATTCATGACTTCTCTTTGCGATGTACCAATGTCTTTGGTGACAATCTTGGTGAATTGATGCACTGCCAACCCGCTCCTCTCTCTGTCTCTCTTTCTGTCTCTCTCTCTCTCTTTCTGTCTCTCTCTCTCAATCTCAATCTCTCTCTCTCCTCACCTCTTTGGCATGGCCTGCCTGCCTTGTTCTCCACTTGAGCTATGCCTTAGGCGCTTGAAGAAATTGGGTGAGGAGGCCGAGGATGGAAGTTGAGCTGGAGGAGGCCGGGCAGCAGCTGGTGGCTTAGAGTTGCTGGCAGCGCTGGTCAGGTTTTATAAGGGGAAGGAAGGGAGAGAGGGGAGGGGAAGGGAGGGAGAAGGAATGCAGTGGGAGGAGAGGAAAGGGAAGGAAGACAAGGAGAGGCAAGGGAAGGCAAGAGAAGAGGAAAGGACAGGGAAGGAGAGGAGAAGGGACAGAAAAGGGAAGGGAAGGTGAGATGGAGGATGGATGGATGGAAGGAAGGAGAGGGTGAAAAGGAAGAGGAAGGAAGGAAGACAAGGAAAGGCAAGTGAGGAGAAGGGAAGAAGGGGGAGAGGGGAAAGGAAGGGGGTGGAAAGGAAAAGAAAGATGGTATGGATAATGGATGGAAGGAAGGAGAGGGTGAAAAGGAAAAATGAAAGGAAGGAAGGAGGGGGAAGTGAGATGGATGAATGGATGGAGGAAGGAAGGAAGGAAGGAAGGAAGGAAGGAAGGAAAGAAGGAAGGAAGGAAGGAAGGAAGGGTCAGTCAAATAAAGTATATGCATACAGGAAAGCTGAAAACAAAAATAACTCAAGCACTTTAATTAGGAACCATGTACACAGAAAGTAGCATCAAGAAGCCCTTTAAAGCCCTATTACTGAAATGTGCTTCTTCTATGACTCTAGCCTCTCACGGATCTGCTGACCATGCATAATAATACTAATGCTAATACTAATAATGCCAGAATGAAGACAGATAGACAGAATACATTAATGCACGGAGCAGGTATTTCTGCTTACAGCTTGAATGTTTGGCAGAGGTCAGGTTTTTTTAATGAGGGTAAAGCTGCCTGTTTCCCAGCCCTTGAATGTCTCAGCTTTGGAAAGCTTGGTGAGGCACCAGAGTAGAGAAAAGACAGTCTGAAGTATAAGAACAGTGCCAAGACCAGTTTCTTTCCAACACTCCGTGTACCAATCTTGCATATCAAACTGTACATGCTGAACATGCTGTTAGTAGAATTCTAAAGGCAAGCCCAGATGGTGCAAGATGCGGGGGAAGGAAGTCTAAAACTAGCTTGCAACCTGCAAAGTTGTGACTTTTTTTTTTTTTCAAGAAGCCACAGGGCTTTCTGGTTTTTTTCTTTGGAGACATTTCACTTCTCATCCAAGAAGCTTCTTTGGCTCTGACTGAAGAAGCTTCCATTCCCCACCATCCAGTCAGAGCCAAGGAAGTTCTTGGATGAGAAGTGAAATGTCTCCAAAGAAAAACCAGAAAGTCCAGTTGCCTCTTGAAAAAAAACAAGCACCTTTGGGATTCTATTCTGTTCTTGTTCTTGTTCTTGTTCTTGTTCTTGTTCTTGTTCTCTTCTCTTCTCTTCTCTTCTCTTCTCTTCTCTTCTCTTCTCTTCTATTCTATTCTATTCTGCATTCTATTCTTGTTCTGTTCTGTTCTACTCTACTCTATTCTGCATTCTATTCTGCATTCTATTCTTTTCTAGTCTAGTCTATTCTCATCCTTTTTCTGACAAAAATAGGGGCGGTTGTCCCAAAGCCATGTCTATTGAGTTGTGGCATGTTTGTTTAACCAGAGGTTTTCATCTATTAACAGAACGTGGATGAAGTTCAGATGATGCTGAAGGTCACCACACATATATTCTCTCGCCATTCCTAGAATGGGTTTGAAGGGAACTGCCTGGCACCCCTAACAAGAGAGCTCTCAAGAATTTGAAACGAACCAAACCAAAAACACAACAACTTTATGTCCTAAATAAGAAGCTGCTTCTCTAACCTCAAGGGCTAACCAACCAACAGCTCCACTTTCCTGAACAAGCCCTGTCTAGCTGCAAAAACCACTGTGATAAAAATCTGGCATTAGAAGGAGAAAAGGACAGATGAGGTTCAAAAAGAGGACAATGAAAACGTTGTTATTTCAGAATTTTCCCTTTCCTCTTTTCGGGTCCTTTTTACCGGTTACAATTCATCTCAGGCATATGTCTGTCTGTCTGTCTGTCTGTCTGTCTGACACTCTCTCTCTCTCTCTCTCTCTCTCTCTCTCTCTCTCTCTCTCAGAGGCATATGTCTGCCTGTCTGTCTGTCTCTGTCTCTGTCTCTGTGTCTGTGTCTCTGTCTCTGTCTCTGTCTCTCTCTCTGTCTCTCTCTCTGTCTCTCTCTCTCTCTCTCTCTCTCTCATTACGTTTAGGTGAGAAATAAAATGTACATTGGGCTTGCATCGAATTTTGCAGCATTTCTCCAAAAGCCACAGCTTACACAGACAGTAACTGTCATGCCCGTGTTGGAATCTGATTCGGAGGGGGAAGCCGAACAGCTGACAGGGGGTGGGAGTGTGGCTCCATTGGCTGCGGAAGAAATGGGGGAAGGGCACAGTCCGGCGGGGCAGAGCAGGGGAGAGGTAGAACAAGGGAGAGGGAGTTCAGAGGAAGACCCGGGCCCACTCTCTCTTCACCCTAGGACACGCAGGGAGGAGCAATCCACACCATCCCAGAGAAAATACAGGCAGTCTTTGACTTACAACTGTTCATTTAGGGACTGTTTGAAGTTACCAAGGCACTGGGAAAAATGTGACCTAGGGCCATTTTTTGCACTTATGACCCTTGTAGCTTCCCCATAGCCACGTGGTCAAAATTCAGACGCTTGGCAACTGGCAGGTACTTATGACGGTTGCAGCGTCCCGGGCTCAAGAGATCACGTTTTTGGAACCTTCTGATCAGCAAAGTCAATGGAGAAGCCAGATTCACTCCACCAACCATGTTACTAATTTAATAATGGCTCCATTGTGGTCGTAAGTCAAGAGCTACCTGTACTTCCAGCCTTTGGTCCCGGAAGCTTCTTCACTGCATGATTTTTCGGCATCATGTAAGTAGATTTTGGACTAGAAAATTATCAGCTTCCCTTTCCTAAAAAGAACTATTCCTCCAAATACATTTTGGGTTCATGCACTCCCTTCAGAGAATAGACAAAATAACTCACACATATCGGTCCAGTTGAATAAATCTAAGACTAGAATCAGTTTACACTAAGCAGTTTTCTCTCCAGGTTTCTATCCTTTGCTATGCTCTGTTTTAAATGCATTCAAGATGTTGTAAGCCACTCAGAATCTATTGGAGTGGGGTAGCAATAATGGATGTAAATGATAATAATGGAAGAACAGAGTTGGAAGGGACCTTGGAGGTCTTCTAGTCCAACCCTCCCTCCTCAGGCAGAAGACGCTACACCACTTCAGACAAATGGTTGTCCAATCTCTTCTTAAAAATTTCCAGTGTTGGAGCATTTACAACTTCTGGAGGCAAGTAGTTCCACAGATGAATTGTTCTCATTCTCAGGAAATTTCTCCTTAGTTCGAAGTTGCTTCTCTCCTTGGTGGGTTTCCATCCATTGCTTCTTGTCCTGCCCTCAGGTACTTTGGAGAATAGCTTGACTCCCTCGTCTTTGTGGCAAGCCCTGAGATATTGGAAGACTGCTATCATGTCACCCAGTGGAAGCATTCAAATAAAGTTGCCACCGGTTTGGTGGGCGTGGCTTGGTGGCCACGCTTTGTGCGCATGCCCACACTTTGCGTGCACACGCACACCAAACACGCACTTTGTACAGGCGCAGAGGCGTTCTAACTTGCCTCCTGCAAGCCTGCACGATGGTGATCGCTGCAGCAGCTGCCATGCAACGCTCTTGTGCGCTGCGCAAAGCAGCTGCGCTTTGAATTCTGGCCATAAAAGTGAGTATGGGAGCCCGGGCGGTTGGGTGAGCCAACCACAGAGCAGCGAAGAGAACCAGTTTGGTCTCCACTGCTCATTGCTGCTACCGGCTCTCCCGAACCGGGCAGAACCGGTCGAATACCACCACTGATGTCACCCCTAGTCCTTCTTTTCATTAAACTAAAGGTTCTTCTCGCACATACGTGTTAGTCGTTTCCAGCTCTAAGGGGCGGTCATCTCTGTTACAAAGCCGAAGAGCCAGCACTGTCCGAGGACTCTCCATGGTCATTTGGCTGGCATGACTAAATGCCGAAGGTGCACGGAAAGCTGTTACCTTCCCACAAAAGGTGGTCCTTATATTTTTCTCCTTGCATTTTTACATGCTTTCGAACTGCTAGGTTGGCAGAAGCTTAGTGATGGGAGCTCACTGCGTTACGCGGTGCTAGGGATTCGAAGAGCCAAACTGCCGACCTTTCCGATCGACACGCTCAGCGTCTTAGCCACTGAGCCACCACACCCCCTAACTCTTATCTAGGGCCAGTCTAATGCTGACCATTAGTTGAGTAAAGTGTTGTATACAGACACGAGTAATAAATCACCTTAATCATCATCCTAGGTCCAAAATCACAAAAGATGGATGCCTGCTCCCTCACCCAATTAATAGTTAATAAGGGTAACGATTTCAATCATTAATCAAGATGACTTATAAGTTGCATTCATAAAGCACATCCCCATGGAAAGCAGATGCTGTTACATCATCTCAATGTTTCAGACTGAGAAGTCCATGCAGTGGTTATGACCAAGAATGAATCCCAAGGTCCTTCTCCGTTGCCTAAGGTGGACATACCTGTAAACATTTCCTCCCCATGCCTCTCCCTTCCCCTGCTTGAATCTTACTTTTGCTGGTCTGGAGCCTCTGTGGTCATGGAATGATACCTCAGAAGTTTTCTTTGGGAAACAGACGGAGAAGTTTCAACCGATTCGAACGACTCCTGGGTTTCCAACGGAACGTGAGTCAGGGTGTTAGCGCGTCTTCTGAAGCCCTGGTAGGCTGATTGGGTAGGATGTTCTTCAGATGATCCTTCAGATGCAGTCGAGAGAAGATCAAGATTGTCCACCGACCCGTTTGGTTTTAGAAGGCTGTCCGGGGGGAAATGATTTTCCTGGTCGCTAAGAGATGTTTCCTATCAAGTGAAACAAAACTGTGAATGATCTCATCAGCCAAACTCAACATTTCATTTCTTTCCATCTCAAGCATAAAATCCAGAATGGGTGTGTTCTTTTCTTGGATTAAAGCAGCCAATTTAGCCATCTCTGTGTCATGCCCCTGTTGGAATCAGATTCAGAGGGGGAGGCCGAGCAGCTGACAGGGAGTGGGAGTGTGGCTCCATTGGCTGTGGAAGAAACTGGGGAGGGGCAAAGTCCAGCTGGGCAGAGCAGGGAAGAGGTAGAACAAGGGAGAGGGGGTTCAGAGGAAGACCCAGGCCAATCTCCTCTTTATCCTAGGGCACGCAGGGAGGAACGGAGAGGGAGCAACATGAGTTGCGTGGCCTACGGGGGAGGAAAGGGCCCTGATTCCCTTTATTAGCTGCAGCTGGGAATAATGTTTAAAAAGGGAAGCTGCACACAGCAAACTGTTGGGAGCAAATTGTGAATTTATCTGGTATCCTCGAGACTTATCTGTATTCCTGGCATCTTCCCAACTGTGTGTGTTTTGCTGGGCTTTCAAGTCTGCAATTCCTTTTCCTGCCCTGTCAAGTTAATTACTGCAGCGGGGTTTGTTTGGATTTTTAGTTACAGTTTGTATGTACTTTGTTTTCGGACTGAATTTTCTCCGCTTAAAGGCTGTTCCTGGGAGTTTTTCTCCAGCCGAAGGTAATCTGGACATTGGGGGCAAAGTTGGAGATAATAAAGGGACTCTTCTTGTTTATTTGACTGTGTTGTGTTTGTGCCATCACACTCTAGTATCTCCTTCAGTTCTTCCAACCAATCATCTATTTTATCCTACTCTTTCTCTTCTTCCCTTTTGTTCCCCTCCACTCTTTTCCTACTATTTTCATTCTCCTCTGCATCTTATATTCTGGTCAACTACAATTGGACGGATCAACATGTGCTAACAGGACATTTAAAATTGTTGGGTTTTTCAATGCTAGAACATCTGGTTGCTTTTAATGACCCAATATCTAATGTAGATGGTTAGAATCAGCAGAATGGCTTGCCTCCGGAAGTGGTGCGGTGGCCTAGAGGTGGTGCTCTTGCCCCACAATCGGGAGGCTGTGAGTTCAATCCTAGGTAGAGGCAGATACCTAGGTAGAGCCAGATGCTCTCTGGGCACGCTGAGAATATATCTGCTGGAAAAAAACCTCTGCATTGGCAACAAGAAGGGCATCCAGCCAGTAAACACTCAGCTCCATTCAGTTGCCAAGACTCCATCCTGCAAGGGATTATTGAGTCATTAAAAGGAGATAATGAATCGCATGCCTCCAGATATTGTGGGCGCTTCATCACTGGAGGCCTATGGAGATTTTCAGTCATCCAGAAGCTTCTTGGCTGAGAAACGAAACGTCTTCAAGGAAAAACAAAGCCCAGGTGCCTTTTGAAAAAAACAACTTGGGCATCTCTGTCCCTGGAGGTTTTTAAGAACTGACTAGACAGCCATTTGTCTGAAATGGTATAGGGCACTGATGGCTAACCTTTTTGGGCTCCTGTGTCAAAAATTTTGCGTGCGCTTGTGCTCGCACGCTCGCATGCCAGTACCCGGAAGGCAATGGGTACTGCCCCCTGCGCATGTGCGCGCAATCTCTCCCATGCTGCCCCCTTACTTGCACTGCACCTCACAGCTGATTTTTGCCCAGTTTGAGGCCTTTTTTGGCCTCCCAGAGGCTTGAAAAAAAAGCCTCTGCAGGATGAATAATAGGCCCGTTTCATCACTTCCGGTATTGCAGGAAGTGATGAAATGGGCCTATTATTTGACCTGCAAAGTCCGCACAGGCTTTTTTCAAGCCTCTGGGAGACCGAAAAAGAAGACCTCAAACCGGCCGAAAAATCAGCTGTGAGACACGCACATGTGCAGTGAGGTAAGTTTGCCTGCGGCTTGCGTGCCGGCACAAACGGCTCTGTGGCACGCATGCCATAGGTTTGCCATCGCGGGTATAGGTCTCCTGGTTGAGCAAGGGGTTGGACTAGAAGACCTCCAAGGTCCCTTCCAACTCAGTTATTGATAATCAAGCAGAAAAGTTTCCATAGATTGTAAAAGAGGGAAGAATCAAGTTCACATCCTCCATTGGGTTTCCTGGGATCTTTCATAATAATTCTGTTATAAATGGACACAGATACTCCTCAGTTTATGACCACAATCGAGTCCAACATTTCTGGTGTGAGACATTTGTTAAGCGAGCTTTGCCCCATTTTACATCCTTTCTTGCCTCAGTTGTTAAGTGAATCATTGAGGTTGATAAGTGAGTAGCCTGGTTATTAAGTGAATCTGGCTTCTGACTTTGCTTGTCAGAAGGTCACCAAAGGGGATCACACAGCAATGGTCATAAATATGAACCAGTTGCCAAGCCTCTGAATTTTGATCATGTGGCCATGGGGATGCTAGAAAAGTCATCACTGTGAAAAACGGCCCTAAGTCACTTTTTTCAGTGCCCTCGTAACTTTGAACGGTCACTAAATTAACTGTTGTAAGTCGAGGACTAACTACCCTGTTTCCCTGAAAATAAGTCCCAACTGGAAAATAAGCCCCAGCATGATTTTTCAGGATGCTCATAATATAAGCCCTACCCCCAAAATAAGCCCCAATTAAGATTGTCAGCCAGAAGGACACATTGAAACTGTATTTCCCCCAAAATAAGACCTAACCAGAAAATAAGACCTAATGGAGCAAAAATTACTATAAGACTCAGTCTTATTTTCGGGGAAACACAGTACCTGTATTTTTTTGCCTATCACTATTGGGTAATTTTTCAGATGTACATATGGTAAGTAGATGTCAGGCTTAGTAGCACATTTAGGATCAAATGAGTTCGATCTTGAAAACCAAAATATAATAATTACTGCAGGAATTTATCGGAAGCTAAACATTTGATGAAAGAAAAGAAACTGTAAAGTGAACTATTCCATTGCCTGTGTTGGTTTTATACTGTACAGTTCACTTACTTTACTTATAGTACTGAGCGTGCTGGATAAGGAGCTATCCAAATCAATACTTCCAGCGGTGTCCTGTAGGCTCTTACTTTTATTTCCCTGCCAAGAAAATCCTCATATTATTATATGTATTTAAAAATATAAAGATATACAGTCCATATATAAAGAAGTATGAAAATTCATATAAAAGACATTTCTTCTAATGAATAAACTGTTAAATTTAAAGATTCCACCCTGTTTCCCTCAAAATAAGACCCAACTGGAAAATAAGCCCTAGTATGATTTTTTTCAGAGTGCTCGTAATATAAGCCCTACCCCAAAAATAAGATTAAGATTGTCAGCCAGATGGGCACATTTAGATCCATATTTTTCCAAAAATAAGACCTAACTGGAAAATAAGCCCTAATGCGTATTTTGGAGCAAAATTAATATAAGACCCAGTCTTATTTTGAAGGGAACATGGTAGCAGTGCTGTGAGCTGTCAGGATTCCAGCAGTTACTCCAATTAAATCATGAGCCTCGAGCCCCACTCCCCAAACTTGAAAGGATTTATTAGAAGTTAACATGTCGGCATTAGCCTGGGAGTAGCCGACTCTGAGATATGTAATTCACTGCTTTCCCCCCCACCCCTCTGGGTGTATCATCCAACGAAACATGTCCATAGCCAAGAGTCATCAATTATGCTGTCCAATTAGGTTTTTCTGTGGCAGAAGCTCCAGTCATTTAATCAGTCTTTGAAGAAAATATGAATGGAATGTACTTTCGATTCCACACTGCCGCCTGCTCTTTGAAACTCCCCCCCCCCTTCTTTCTGTTGTCAACTATAAAATGTGTATACAAAATGTTTTATGAGTTGACATGATCATTATTAAATTTAATTTTGGGGATGAGCTAAGAATATAGGCTTATTATTACAGGTAATCTTCATCTTATGACCCCAATGGATCCCAACATTTCCACTGCTAAGAAAGAGAGTTGTTGCCACAGTTTCTTACTACAATTGTTGAGTTTTGCCCAGTTTTACGACCTTTCTTGCCACAGGTTGTTAAGTGAATTGCTGCAGTTTTTAAGTTAGCAACACGGTTGTTAAGTGAATTTGGCTACCCCACATTGACTTTGCTCATCAGAACGTCACCAAAAGATACTCATGTGACCCTAGGACACTGCAACTGCCATAAATGGTTGCGAAGTGTCTGAATTTGGATCTCCTGTCTATGGGATACTGCAATGGTCATAAGTGTGAAAAATGGTCCTAAGTCACTTTTTTTGGTGCAGTTAACTTTGAACGGTCACTAAATGAACACTGTTGTAAGTTGAGAACAAGCTGTACTGTACTTGCATTTTTTTCCCTCTCTTGACACTTGATTTATAAGTCTAAAATATTGAAAATGACCAATTATTTGTCTGAATTCCCCTTAAAAGACTGGGCTGTGTATTCGCCGATGGAAACTCGTAGTATGTCATTCATTATTTCCTGTTCTGACCTAGGATTCCCCAAGAAGCACTAAGCCGACTTTTTGTCCCAGCAAAACCCCTCTTATTAAACGAAGGTGAGTTTTTTGCATTCACATTCAGCCAAAGGCCTGGCCAATAGTCTTTCAAGGGTGTCATTAGGAGCACAGACCTTATCTAGCTTGGAGAGATGCCAAGTAAATATTTCCAAATGCAGTGCTGACAAGGAAGGACTCAGCACAGAGTCTCTGAGATGCACAGACAGATCTTCACACTGCTGCAATGAATGAATTGTTTCCTGCAAAATCCCCCTCCCCTTTTGCTCCTCTTTTAATCCCTATGGGAGGGGCCTTCACCATGTCTTAACTCAATGCTTAATTACCACTTATATGTGCCCCAACCCTCTCTAACAATATGCACATCAATACATGAAAAAAGCCATTTCCATCCACGCAGTTCTTTCAGAATCTATCCTTCAGCCCATAGTTGTTTCAAAATCCATCCTGCAGCCTGAAGTTGCTTCAGAATCCATCCTGCAGCTCACAGCTCTGCTGAGTCAATCTAAAGCAACCTTCAACACCATTGGCTAGCACACAAGCAGCAATACAGATCCGGTGTCTGCAGAGCTAAGGTGATATTCTTCAACTTTGCCCCCAATGTCCATTTGCTGCAAAGTGTGTTTGGAGCTGACGGGATCAGTAGCGAACTCGGAGCCCAACAGTTCACCTATGGCCTTTCTCCCATGTCAACCCTGAGTTCGTAATTCTTCTTTTCTTTTGGCAGCTCTGCGCATGCGCAGGCTGGGAACTGGCTCCAGCTGCTCCCCCACCTCACTGCTGTCTGACTCCAAAGGCAGCTGATAACTGTCAGACTGTCCTGGCCCCATCTCTGCCTCTGATGCAGAGCCCTCGTCCGAGCCTTCCTCAGCCTTCAAGACTGGCCCAGGTTCCGCCCCAACCTCCTCACTCTCCGATTCTGCTGTCAGCTCTGCCAGCCGCTGGCGGGCCACAACATTTCCCTCCTTTTAAACACATATCCAGGTGCGTGCTTAATGGTTTCGTTTTAAACACAGTTGTTTATTTTAGTGCAAAAATAAATTTTTCATGATGCGGAGGTCAACGCCCCCCAACACAGCAACTGTTGCATTTCAAGAGATTCAAAAAAGACTTACCCGAGATAAAATATTTTCCAAGGATTCGGTAAGCGACCTCTTGGCTTTGTTCTTCAGCACGTCAAGCTTGAACCGACTTGTGCTGTTTGGCATTTCGTTTCCCATGGCTTCTCCAGTGGACTGGCCCGTCTAGGACGTTAAGGTAACAAATGCATTTGAAAAAAGAAAATAAAGATAAATCAACAGGAACCCCTTCCCAAAATAATAATAATGATAAAAGTGTTCGCTCCCAGGGGGGACATTTTTGTAATAGAGAAACAGGGAGCTGCTCAAAAAGATAAAAGACTTCAGAATATCCTCCAGATAGTTTAATAATAATTAGTTCCCATTTTCTTGGCAACCGTTTGGCACTGTTATACAATCAGCAGCAGCAAAGGTGGGATTCAAATAATTTAACAACTGGTTCTCTGCTCTAATGACCGGCTGGGTGGGTGTGGCCATGGTGGCCATGGCCAGGGGTGTGACAGGCAGGGCTTGGCCTCCTGCAACCTCCTGGGAGCAAAATCGGGCTGCAGGGGTAGTGCATCACCCCTACACCCCTGTGCCCATTTTTGGGCCTAGTAAGCCTCCCTGCAGCCTCCTGGGAGCAAAAACGGGCCGTGGGGGAGACTCCTGGAAGGGGCAGGGAGGGGAGGGGCAGGACCAGCCAGAGGTGGTATTTGCCGGTTCTCCAAACCAGTTAAAATTTTCACTACAGTTACACCAGAAGGCATCCGAACCACCTGAACAGCACCTCTGATCAGCAGCAGGCCTGATCTGTGAGGCCTGGTTACAACTGTCCAAAGTCATAGGGCAGCTCTACCACCCCTCCAGCTTAATTTTTACCCCTGCACCCTGGAGTGGGTGGGATCTTAATTAGGGCTTATTTTTGGGGGTAGGGCTTTTATTGGTCGCACGTGTAAAAATCAAGCTAGGACTTACTTTCAGGGTAGGTCGTATTTTCGGGGAATCCAGGTATGATTGAATAACATAATGAGGATTACTTAAAATGGGCAAATCTGATAGAGATTATTAATACTGTTATAAAACAAATATTGGAAAAAGAAAACTACAGACCTGTTTAACTTCCCCAAGGTGAACATGATCCTTCTGTTTTTCTTCATACACGTTTCTCAGGATAGAGATGATGAGCTCATTCTCCTTCTGTTCATTTCTTGGCCTTATTTTCTACCAAAGGGGGGGGGGAAATAAAGAGGAGAGCTTAATCCCTTTAACTCGTTGCATCACCAAATTGCTGCAAACACAGGTAGTCCCCGACTTAACAACAACTTGCATCATTGAGTGACCGTTCAAAGTTACGCTGAAAAAGCACCAAAAAATGGGGCCTGTGTCTATGTTCCACACTTACAACTGTTGTAAGCATCCCCATGGTCATGTGATCCAAACTCCGGCGCTTGGCAGCTGACTCCTATTTGTGACAGTCCTGGAATCACAATGATTCCTTTTTGTGACGTTCTGATGAGCAAAGCCAAATTCACTTAACAACCGTGTGACTAACTTAAAAACTGCAGGGATTCACTTAACAACTGGGGCAGGATAGGGGTCAACTAAAAAAATATTTCTTTGGTCTTTTTAGTTGCCAGCAGAAAGAAAGTGAGGAAAACAGCGCATTCCTTAATTGCTTCAGATAACTGCTAGGTAGCTGAAGCTGTTGGGGCGCAAGATTATTACTAGAGAGCATGATTGATGACTCTTGGCTATGGATGTGTCCCATTGGAGAATATGCATCCAGGGGATGCGGGGGAAGACCAGGGTCAAGGGTGAAATGAATGATGTATCTTGGAGTCGTCTGCACCCAGGTAACGCCAACATGATCACTCCTAATAAATCTATTTTTTTACTCTGATGCAAATAGAAACTTATGATTTGAATGGGGGTGGTTGGTCGGAGCCTTGACAGTAGATTGTAAAATGGAGCAAATCTCCTTTAACAAATGTTTCACTTTGCAACGTACATTTCGGGCTCAAATGTGGTTGTAATTCAAGGACGACCTATACCAAAAAAATGACTTGGCCACATCAATTTCACAATATACAGCTGGAGTTATGAAACAATTTGTGTTAAGTAGCTTTTTATCCTGTCATTCGGGGAAGTGAATGGCCAAGCAAATAATCCTTACTTCTAAAGGCAACATTTATTTGATTGTCTCCAAAAACATAACTGTAATCACATGCCTGTTATTTCTAAATTTTTTCCTACATCCTCTAGGGACCATCAATGCTGCCAAAATTTGCATCAATCGAACATAAAGCAAAAATGTTTTGGACACTTTTTTTCCCTTCCAAAAACCTAAAAACTATTTTGAATTTTTTTAAAAAACATATGGACAAATCAGGTGACATATGGCTTAATCTCGCTGAATTCTATAATCAACCAACATTGTTTAATTCTGGGCCAGCAATTTCCATTGATTTTAATGCAACTCCTGCTAAGAGGCACAAATTAGGACCACAAATTAGAAATTGTATTTTTTCTCCACTGAAAAAAATAATATAACGGCAATTACCTGAACTTCCTCAAAAATCGAAGCTTGCTCCTGGTTATTCAGTGCTGTTAAATGTTTTTGCAATTCCAACTTAGTTTTAGAAGGATGCATCCCTAGCAAATAAACACATCAACATTAAGTCAGCATCATACCTTTGAGATAATATTTGGTCACTGGAAATTCACAAAGCTGTGCTGTGGATGGATGAAACAATTTTCTCTTTGGTCCCGGGATGATAGCAGCAAATTAAGATTTACATTTGTTTTGACCCCAAGACAACCATATCTATAAAGGTAAAGGTTCCCCTTGCACACATGTGCTAGTTGTTTCTGGCTCTAGAGGGCAGTGCTCATCTCCATTACAAAGCCGAAGAGCCAGCGCTGTCCGAAGACGTCTCCGTGGTCATGTGGCCGGCATGACTAAATGCCGAAGGTGCACGGAACGCTATTACCTTCCCACCAAAATGGTTCCTATTTTTCTACCTGCATTTTTTACATGCTTTCGAACTGCTAGGTTGGCAGAAGCTGGGACAAGTAACGGGAACTCACTCCACGATGCAGCGCTAGGGATTCAAACTGCCGAACTGCCAACCCTTCCGATCGACAAGTTCAGCATCTTAGTCGCTGAGCCACTGTGTCCCTTCCGTTATACCAGGATGCAATTATACGCACACTAAAAATTAAACAAGCTTTTTTTTAAAAAAAAAAGTCCCAATGATATATCTATTGGCTAACTCCCAAAGGTATCCAAGAAACACATCGACCAACCAGGATAATTCTTACCTTCTATCTTTTCACAAAGCTTATGAAGAATTTGCATAGGACACTCATCACAGAACTGCAGTTGGGCTTTGAAATTTTGCTGGCTGGCTGCCACACTGAAGGCCTGTTTCAAGGTCATCATGATCTCGTCCACCTAAATGAGCGAGCGAGAGAGACAGAGACAGAGACACAGATAGAGAGAGACAGAGAGAGAGAGAGAGAGAGAGAAAGACACACACACACACACACACACACACACACAGAAACAGACACAGAAAGAGAGAGGGAGAGAGAGAGAGAGGTCAAAGTTCTGGATTTTTCTGCTGTTCTAGTCCTTTTGCTAGCTTTTGAGCCATGGTGGCGCAGTGGTTAGAGTGCAGTACTGCAGGCTACTTCTGCTGACTGCTGACTGCCTGCAATTTGGCAGTTCAACTCTGACCAGGCTCAAGGTTGACTCAAGGTTGACTCAGCCTTCTGTCTTTCTGAGGTAGGTAAAATGAGAACCCCAAATTGTTGGAATCCCAAAATTGTTGGTTAGAATGCCGTATTGCTGGCCAACTCTGCCTACAGTCTGAAGTTCAATCCTGATTGGCTCAAGATTGACTCCGCCTTCCATCTTTCTGAGGTGGGTGAAATGAGGACCCAGATTGTTGGGGGCAATATATTGACTCTAAACCGCTTAAAGAGGGCTGCAAAAGCACTGTGAAACTGTATATGTCTAAGTGCTATTATTATTTTCCTTCCTTTGTTCCTTCCTTCCTTCCCTCCCTCCCTCCCTGTGGTTAGAGTGCAGTACTGCAGGCTACTTCTGCTGACTGCTGGCTGCCTGCAATTTGGCAGTTTGATTCTCACCAGCTCAAGGTTGACTCAGCCTTCCATCCTTCCAAGGTGGGTAAAATGAGGAGCCAGATTGTTGGGGGCAAGAGGCTAACTGTGTAAAACCGTTTAGAGAGGGCTGTACAACACTGTGAAGCGGTATATGAGCCTAAGTGCTATTGCTACTTTCAAGTTCTTACCAGAGCTTCATCTGTACATTGAAATACGTAACAGACAAAATGGAAGCCTCTGTTTTTGGAAGGCTCTCTGCAGATGAATCCAAAGTGATCCACATGACAAATTCCCTGGAAGACAAATTATTGCATTCAAAGGTTTGTAAAGGAATGAGTAGAAGCAGCTTTATGTTGTCTGCATGTTGAGTCAAGGCAAATGGATTTTTCTTGCTTCTTTGAACAGAAGCTAAAGAAGCTACCATACTGGGATAAACAATAAAACATTTCAAAACCAAAGAAAAGAAAACAAAAGTCCAGCTGCCACGACTCAACGTCCAGACAACTCTCCCTGGATGACTGAGAATCCTCCACCGACTGTGATGACCCGCGGCGTGGCACAAAGGCAACACAGTCAAATAAGCACGAAATGTCCCTTTAATACCATCAACTTTGGCCCCAATGTCCAGGTTACCTTCAGCTGGAGAAAAAAATCTCTCCCAATAACAGTCTTTAAGTGGCGGAAATTCAGTCCGAAAACAAAGTACATACAAACTGTAAATAAAAATCCAAACAAACCACGCTGCAGTAATTAATTGGACAGGGCAGGAGAAGAAATTGCAGACTTGAAAGCCCAGCAAAACACACACAATTGGGAAGATGTCAGGAACCAAGGTAAGCCTCGAAGATATTAGATAAATTCCCAATTTTCTCCCAACAATTTGCTGTGTGCAGCTTCCCTTTTTAAACACGGTGTTCCCAACTGAAGCTAATGAAGGGAATCAGGGCCCTTTCCTTCCCCGTAAGCCATGCAACTCACGTTGCTCCCTTCTTCATTCCTCCCTGCGTGCCTTACGATAGAGGGGATGGGCCTGGATCTTCCTCTGAATACCCTCTCCCTTGCTTTACCTCTCCCCTGCTCTGCCCCAGCTGGCCTTTGTCCTTCCCCAGTTTCTTCCACAGCCAATGGAGCCACACTCCCACTCCCTGTCAGCTGCTCGGCCTCCCCCTCCAAATCAGATTCCGACAGGGGCATGATACTGACATTTTCTCATAATCTTTTTCATGTAGCATTCAACGAGGGTTGAGCTGCCTTTATAAAAGGGGGGGGGCTCTCAAAATCATTTCCTTCTTATTTATTTCGCAGAAAAATCAAAAAAGTACTATAGAATCATAGAATCACAGAGTTGGAAGGGACCTGGGAGGTCATCTAGTCCAGCCCCCTGCTCAAGCAGGAGAGTCTACTCCAAATCTTAGCCTCTACCTAGGGATCGAACTCACAGCTTCCTGATTATGAGGCAAAACGCTCTGAGTGAACAATTCCACCAAAGGTGTAGGGGTAGACCTTGGTTTATGACTGCAGTTGAGCCCCAAATGCTCGTGGCTAAGTGAGACAGTGGTTAAGTGAATTTTTACCCTGCTTTATGACTTTTCTCGCCCCGGTTATTAAGTGAATCATGGCACTTGTTAACTGAGTTACACGGTTGTTAAGCGAACCTGGATCTCCCCATTGCTCCCAATTTTTGTTATGTTTTTACGCTTTTCTTGAACAGCAGCTCTGGGATAAATCAGGTTTTAAGACTAATGATTCTCCTGAAAGGAAAAAAGGAAATAATACAGATAATTTTTCACTGCGGCTATGTTAAGATAAGAGAATACTGTCCAGAAATCTTGTGGCTAAGCCTCCAAACGAAGAGGCAGATTGTAGCATCTGCCTTGCTTTATCAACAGAGATGCACGGTGTAATATTTTCTTCCACTTTTTTTTAAGGTTTTAATTTTATTTTAAATCTATACATTTCATCTTCCATTTAACGGTGTGTCGTCTGGGTAGTGTTGTGGTTTGCAGACAGCCTGTGCAGATGGCAGTGGAATTGGACAGTGGGGAAGAATGGGGACCAGTCTGGGAGTTTGGGAGGACTCGAATGAAGGTCCTGTGTTCGATGCCGAGATGGGGCCAGGACCATCTGGGAGTGGGGTGCTGCCTCTGGAGCCTCCAGAGTCTGGCAGCAGTGAGGCAAAGGACCCAGGGGAGCCTATTCCCAGTACACATGTGCGCAGAGCTGCTAGAAGGTGAGAGCAGCTGAAACAAAAGGAGTGACTCAGGAATAAGGCTGGGAGGTGATTGCCCCTCCCCTAAGATATAAAGGTCAGGCCAAGATGATGAAACCTTTGCAGGAAGCAAAGACGTTTGTTCGGTTCAGATTCATTCTTGAAGCTCTTTTTTTTTTCCCTAGTTCACTGGACACTTCTGTTATTGGTAGCAGTTCACAAGAAAGAAAGGTGGGTGCTTATCTTGAGGGACTGTTTGAGATTCATTACTGGCAGGGAATGAAAATAATTCTCAGAGTTGCAATAAAACAAGACTTGTTTTAAAATAAGCGTGTGCATAATTACGGTCTCAGAAGCCTTGGTCAGAACAGGTACAAATACCTTGTACAATAACAATTAAAATTACAACCATATTCATTACTTTGGCATTAATTTTCTGTTCTTATTAATATACATAATATCTCTATCACTATAACACTCCTCTTCTTAACATGTTTAATTTTATTAACCTATTTTCTATATTTCACTAATCTATTGGCTATTTCTAGCTTCCATGTTTTTTTCTCTAGCCATTGATAAAATAGTTCCCATATCTTCATAGTATTCAGTTTGGTCCTGTGCTAGAAGTTAACCATTAAATGAACTGGGAGTAGGAAAAATTAGATTTTATTTCCAGCTGGCCTGGAAAAAAAAACAAAAATCAAAGCAGAATTTGACCTTGAGGGCAAGTGGTTGAGGGCTGACTCAGAAATATTCCCTGACAAAGTAAACGGTCTCAAAGAAACTCCTTCTAAATTTATGGCAGACTTCCTTTAGAAATAACCATTCTGGTATTTATGCTAACTTAAAAGTTTATTTTAGCATTATTGGCCACCAAGCCATTTAGCATTAAGGGATTTCCATGGAATTGCATCATTTTGCATCTACTTTTTTTGGGGGGGGGGGGACAATTTGGAAAAAAACCCAGCTTCATAAAATGGGGGCTTTATTTGTTAATTGTTTTAAACAAATTACAAACTAAATTATGAACCAATTTTAACCCCAACAGAGGCCAATGTTTCTGTTGCTAAATGAGACAGTTGGGCAGTGAATTTTGCGGCCTTTCTTGCCAAGCGAATCACTTCAGTTGTTACCTCAGGAAGATGGCCGTTAAGTGAATCAGGCTTCCCCATTGATTTTGCTTGTCAGAAGGTCGCAAAAGCGGATTGCCCAGGATGCTGCAGCTGTCATAAATAGGAAGCAGTTGCCAGGGGTGGGATTCAAATTTCTTAACAACTGGTTCTATGGGCGTGGACTAATTTGTGGGCATGGCTTGGTGGTGATGTGACTGGCTGGGCATGGCTTGTATGCAAATATTACAAATATTTATGTAAATATTGAATTTATTAAAAAAGAGCAACTTTTACCTAAAATCAGGCAAAGCAGGCATGCAGACTGAGTTGCTCACAGAATCACAGATTCACTCAGAGATCTATCTTTCTGCCATCAGCTACCTGAGTCTGCACTGAAAAATAGAAACTTCAGTCCTAAGGAAGGTTCAGCTCTGGTTTTAGATTAGCTAGAAAGCAAGAAATCGAATGATTTCCTGCTTTCTAGCTAATCCAAATCTCCCGGCACAGCAGAACAGATGATGGTCAGGGGAAAAATAACAACTTACCACATGCAGGGAAGTTTGATGGCGCACATGCCAGGTAAGGAATGAGTGGGGTGGGGAGGGGAGGAGCCAGCCAGTGGTGCGATTTGCCGGTTCTCTGAACTGAGCAGAATTGTAACAACTGGTTCTATAGAACTATAGATTCTACCAGGTAGAATCCCACCCCTGGCAGTTGCCCCAGTGTCTGGATTTTGATCATGTGACCATGGGGATGCGAGATCATGTGACCATGGGGATTACAACAGTCATAAGTGTGAAAAACAGTCATAAGCCAATCTTTTCAGTGCCACTGTAACTCCTCAACAGTTTGCTTAACGTCCGTTTGAAGTTACAAGGGCACATGAAAAAAGTGACTTATGACCGTTTTTCACAGTTACAACCCTGGCAATATCCCCATGACTATGTGATCAAAATTCAGACTCTTGCCCATTGGTTCATACTTATAACTGTTACTTAACAACCGGGTTACTAAACTAAACTATTATCTGCACTGATTCACTTAACAAGTTGAGCAGGAAATATCATAAAACGAGGGGGGGAAAAAAACCTCATTTAACAAAGGTGTCCCTTCACAACAGAAATGTTGGGTTCAATTGTGGTCATAAGTCGAGGACTATCTATATAAGACTGTAATCAAGTGGCTTGTCAACTCATAACATATTTCTGGTTTTTTTTAGAGTTGCCAACAGAAAGGGAGAAGGGAGCAGTGCGACAGCTTGCAAACCGAAACGGCATTCCATAAATGTTTTCAAACTAACAAAGTAACTAGGTGACTGAAATTTTTGCCGTGCAAAATTCCAACTAGAGACCATGATTGATGACTCTTGGCTATGGATGTGTCCCATTGGAGAATATGAATTACGATACACCCAGGGGGTGGGGGAAACCAGGGTCAAGGGTGACAATAAATTATGTATCTCAGAGTTGGCTACACCCAGGTAGTGCCGGACATATTAACTCCCAATAAATCCTTTTGAAGTTTTGGAAGTTTGGCTCGAGACTCCTGATTTAAATGGGGTATCATGCCCCTGTTAGAATCTGACTCCGAGGGAGAGGAGGAAAAGCCGACCGGGAGTAGAAGTGTGGTTCTAGAGGTTGCGGTGGAAACTGGGGAAGGGCACAAGCCAGCTGGGCATTCAGAGGAAGACCCAGGCCCGTCCCCTCTTTATCTTCAGGTACACAGAGAGGAGTGTATAAGGAAGAAGCGTGAATGGTGTGGTCTATGGGGGAGGAAAGGGCCTTAATCCCCTTCGTGGGCTGCAGCTGTGAGGACTGTTTAAAAGGACAAACTGCACATGGGTCAGTGCTGGAAGCAAAGCGTGAAAATATTTCTAATCTGTCAGTTCTTATCTCAGTTCTGGCATCCTTCCCAGTATGTGTACTTCGATATATGCGGACATCTGCAAGCCCTTATCCTGCCTTGTCTCATTAATTCTTCAGTTTGATTTGTGTTGTTTTTTTCTATTTAGGTTTATATGTATTTTGATTTTGAACGGAAGTTTCTCCAGTCAATGATAATTGGACTTTTAAAGCCAAGTTGAAGGAATTAAAGGGACTTCACCTGTTTTTGTGACTTTGTTGCTTTTGTATCCCACCCTGGGTCATCACATGGGGTTAAGTGTCAGAATCCTGACATGGCCATTAATTAAACACGAAACAAAAATCCAATCACAATGACCATGATGATGATAATAACAATGCATGAAAATCAGTCAGAGACAAGAGAACAAGAAAAAGGAAAAAAAAGGAATTCAAATGTGGATACCTGGGAGCAAAAGGATATTTCTTTAAAGCTTTTCTCAATAACTACTTTTTTGGTTTCGGGACTTATGATGTAAACTTCAGACTGTCCAATCTGAAAACAATAAAAAAAACAATATCAATAAAGCAGCCACAGTATTATTCCCATTATTGTGCTCAGCATTTTTGAGTCGGTACGCCTGAAGCATTCTGCATTAATACGGATGCAAGGAAGGAAGATTTTTATACGCTCTTTAATGCAGTATTGAAAAAAAAATATCGAATTTTCCAATGTCAAAACATTGATGAAGCCGATGAAACAAATGCCGCCTGATCCTGTTTGGGAAGGATAAAAAAAACGAGGCTTGCCAATTTTGTCCTCTCTGCATTGGCGTGTATAAGTACGCAAAGAAGACCGTTGGCACTGTGACTTCGCAAAACTGCAGTGGAGTTATTTCCCTTAAGCTCAGCCTCTAAATTTCCCCCTGTCTTTACATGGTTTCCTGAAGCAAACTTAATCTGAAATAGTTTGAAGGATTAGCAGACTAGACGTCCGGTTAATATAAATTAATGCTTTGGTGCAAAAACTCCACGTTACCAGGGAGGTTTTAGCTATTATGCAAACTGCTCTAAGGGCATATAAAGTGAATGGAAAAAACAGACACCTGTTGGAAATAACACAATCGTACAGGTATGCATATTCCAGGCTGCAACTTTGGACCACAACTTTTTGAGCCACATGTTGCTAGGCAACTGTAGATGTCAGTTGTCTGAAGCAAGCAGGCTCGGAGACGTTACCTCATAATCTGTGAAGCATTTTTTAATGGGCTTGTTTTACTCTCTGCAGCTTCATTTTATTTGGAAACTCTGCATCGGGGTTACATGTGTTAAAGCTTGCAGGCAATTGCACACTGGGCTGAGTTGTGACAAAAGTCTGAAGGGCCCATTAAGTGGGAACTGCTCTCTAGAGCAAAGAGCTTGTATGTGATGGAACTAGTAAGTAATTTTGCTTTTTATTATCATTATTACCCGTGTTTCCCCAAAAATAAGACCCTGTCTTATAATTTTTTTTCCACCAAAAAAGTCACCAGGTCTTATTTTCGGGGGAGGCCATCCACTGACTAACCTCACTTGCCTCGTCACCCCAGGCCTCCTTTTTGCTATCAGAAGCCTTCTGGAACAACTTCTGCTACGGCCGGATCAATCCAGAGCTTTGTTATCAGCTCCAGAGGCCTTCAGGAAAGCCTTGCCAGCTGCAGAAGAAATGGGCCGGCGAGGCAGGTGTTGGGGTGTGCGAGGCCTGACTACAACTGTCCAAAGGTAAGTAGTAGGGCAGCTCCATCCCCCATCCCCACCCTAGCTTAATTTTTACCCGTCCACTCTGGAGTGGGTGGGATCTTAATTAGGGCTTATTTTGGGGGTAGGGCTTATATTGGGCACACGTGTCAAAATCAAGTAGGACTTACTTTCAGGGTAGGTTGTATTTTGGGGGAAACAGGGTATTGTAGAGTCAGGGTGTTCTCTGAGCTTGGTTGTCTTCTTGCAGACGTTTCATTACCAAGCTAGGTAACATCATCAGTGCCACCAAGAAAACCACCAAGATCAGAGAGCACCAAGGACTGCCTCAGTTCAACCCTGAGCTGGAAATAAAAAAAAAAAAATTCCCAAATGGATTCTATCACAAACTAGAACAATTGAAGCACAGCATACCATATAAATCTGTAACCTCAAAAGCATCAACACTGACAACAGTCCCCACATTTAAAACACGGCTTTGGCAGCCAAGATGGTATAATGGAATGAAAAGATCTGGGTGAATTGCAAGATTACATGGACCTTTTGGGGAGGGATGCTCTATTTAATAGGATTCTAACTCAAGATCCTCTCCCATTCTAGTTATCTGACATATTTCATCACTGACTCTTAGAAAAGGTGATTAGATTGGTACAAAGCACCAGAAAACAACTTAGGAGTTTGTGCAGGAGAACCATCATCAACCATAACCATTGCTGGAATTGGGTATGTCTGGTTTAATGAAAAGAAGGACCAGGTGTGACATGATAGCAGTGTTCCAATATCTCAGGGGCTGCCCCAAAGAAGAGGGAGTCAAGCTATTCTCCAAAGCACCTGAAGGCAGGACAAGAAGCAACAAATGGAAACTAAGCAAGAAGAGAAGCAATCTAGAATTAAGAAATTTCCTGACAATGAGAAGAATTAACCAGTGGAGCAACTTGCCCCTAGAAGTTGTGGCTGCTCCAACCTTGGAAGTTGTTAAGATGAGATTGGACAACCATTTGTCTGAAATGGTGGAGGTTTTTCCTGCCTGAGGAAGGATTGGACTAGAAGACTTCAAAGGTCCCTTCCAACTTTGTCATTCTATTCTATTCTTCTAAAATCAAGGCCTCCTTATTTGACCCAACGTTCATTCCTCATAAGTAGGGACAGTTGCCAGTTGCCCAATAAAGAAGGAAGTCTAAGGTCAGAAGTGTTTTCTCTTTGTTACACCATAACCCATTTCCTTAAACTGAAAAAAAATGATACATCCATTCCAGGAAGCCATGGTACTTACAAAGCTTCATACTTAAGGTCAGCATGACCTCCATTTAATCTTCTAGAGAAGATTACCCTCCTTCTAGGTAATCAAATTTCCCTGGAATCTACTAGGATCGATCCCCCAGTAAGCATGCACTGAATCTCTTTTTACATCCCAGAGAAGAAAACAGTAGCTTCGTGCAGTGAAAACACGAAAGGAGAAACGTTGCTAAGCTGAGCCAATGTGAATCCTCCCCCAGGTGGAATCGTAGAATGATAGACTGCTTGGAGGTCTTCTACTCCAACCTCCTGCTCGAGGTAAGGGTCTTTATGCCATCCGGGACAAACGTGTTCTGATCCAGGCTTCCCAAAAGTACGAAGCTGACTCCTCGTCCCGACAAAACTCCCTTTTATTTAGGTTAAAGGGAATTCCTCTCCAGCAAAGTCCTGGCCAACAGTCTTTCAAGAGATTTCATAACCACAGACCTTTATCAGGCTTGGAGAGCTGCCAGGCCGATATCCTCCAAACGCCACTCTGTAGCAGACAATACTTGGCAAGAAGTAGGAACAGATCTTCACCCTCATGAATTGAACTAACTGTCTCCTGCCAACACCACTCCCCTTTCGCTCCTCTTTATTCTCTATGGGAGGGGCCATTCACCATCCACCTGTTCCTTAGCTGTTCCCTTCTTCTGCCAGCTCTGCACATGCGCACACTGGGATCAGCTCCAGCTGTTCTTCTGCTCCACTGATCCCCAACTCCCAAGGCAGCTGTTAACTGTCGGATGGCCTTGGCCCCATCTCTGCCTCCAATGCAGAGCCCTCGTCAGAGCCTTCCCCAGACTCCAGGACTGGCCCATGTTCCTCCCCAACTTCCTCACTGTCTGAATCTGCTGCCAGCTCTGCTGGCTGCTGGTGGACCACAACAAAATGGTTGTCCGATCTTTCTTTGATTTCCATTGATTAATTGTTCTCACTGCCTCCTTCACTCCAGATTGGATCTCCTTCTGAGGAGCTTCCACCTGTTACTTCTCGTCCTTTCCTAGGCTGCTATGGGAAGTAAATTGATGCCCTCTTCCCTGTCCTTCAAGGATTGGAAGACACTACCATACTAAGCCTTCTCCTTCTTTGGCTAAACATAACCAGTTCTATCTATATACTGTATATTTCATCTACACCATCTATATAGATGGTATACATGCCTCCGCCTCCTTGTTCTCTGCTCTACCCATTGACCTTACTTTCTTGGTAATCATACTGATATTCTTGTTATGTTTCTTGTCATTGTTTCTTTTATTAGTTTTTCACACTCTTTTCATTGCTTCATTTTTACTGAGGTGGTGCTCTCTGTTTTCTTGCAGGTGTTTCATTATCCCAACTGGTCAGGTATAGCACTGATGATGTTACCTAGTTGATTACCTCATTTCCTTCTGTTACCTTTCCTTTCCTTTCCTTTTATTTCCTTCCCTTTCCTTCCATTACTTTTCCTTCCCTTCCTTTCCCCTTCCGTTTCTTTCCCTTCCCTTCCATTACCTTTCCTTCCCTTCCCTTCTCCTCCTTTCCATGATTTCATGAATTTGCAAAGAGCAAAGAAAATTGTTAGTGCAGACAAAAATGGAAAGGAAACCAGATAATGGAAGACTATCTGGGTTTATTTGCTTGCGTGAAAAGCGCAGAAAGTTTGTGAGAATCTGGGAAAGGAATGGCACAGAGGGCAGCAGGCGAATTAGCAGTTAATTTATTTGAGAAAGAGCTACTCAACTTAGCCTGGGAAAAACTTCCTAAGAAATTACTTGAAATGACACACATGGACTCTGCCTTCATTAATTCACTCTAAAAAAAGACTAGAAAACGCCTCCTGAAATCTCCAAGATTAGGCAGCTAGCTCAGACTACAAGTTACAGGCCACCATCCCAACGGATGATGGGTTGAATTCGACTCCAAGGAGGATGGCAAGATGTGGGCCTTTTTGATTCTAAACCGCCTCCAGAATTACTCCCTTCTCAATTATCTGCAGCATTTCAGTGGCTAGCAATACAATAACAATCAGGAAGGCTAAGCAAACAAAATTAGGTTTTTTTTTTACCGTGAACAACATAATCCGGTTCCCAGCAATATCTGTCGGCTGTACATTTTGTCCCTGGATAAATTGACTTTTTAAGTTGAGAGAAACGACATCATCTTCATCCAAGGATCGGGCCAGGCTGTTGCTCTTCAGGCTCCAGCTCTGCACATCCCTTTTCAACGCAAAAGAAGGGAGGCCGGGCTGAGAGTGAGACTTCCTCAAGGGCTTCGCGGTCTCTTCTTCGCTCGCCGAAGATTGGAAGACGGAGCGGAATTTGTCACTTAGGGAAAAGCCACTGGAGTGATCGGCGCTGTCATTTTGACGGGGCAGGTGCAGGTTTTTGGTATCACTCACATCGTTGAATTTCTCGATGCATTCATCGATGAAGGCCGGAGGGGCGTTTTTGTGCGCGACCGTCACCCGGCCGCAAAACAGCACCTCAAACTTCTTGCTGAAAGGATCTTCAGGTTGGCTCTGAAAGTCTTCCTGACGAGAGATCTTCCCTGCTTGTCTGATGGTGCTGATAATCTCAGGCACCTGCAAAATATATATATATATACTATATATAGATACAGAATATAAAATAAAGATAAAATATATGCTTGTTTTCATAGAGGAGGAAAACAGGAACAAAAAAACACAGCAGAAAGCGAGAGGGAAGAGTGTCAGAATTGCAATTCTTGGAAAATAAAACAAATTAAAATGGTCCATGATGGCGAACCTATGGCATGTGCGCCACAGGTGGCATGCAGACCAATTTGCGTGGGCACACTAGCCCCAGCCAAACTTACTTGCACTGCGCATGCGTGTGCCTCATAGCTGATTTTTGGCCTGTTTGGGGCCTTATTCGCCCTCCCGGAAGCTCGAGGGAAGCCTCTGCAGCCTCTGGAGGCCGAAAAATGGGCCCGTTTCAGCACTTCCAGTATTTTCAGAAATACTGGAAGTGTTGAAACCAGAAGTGCTGAAATTGGACGTGCCAAAACGGGCCCATTTTTTGGCTTCCAAAGGCTGCAGAGGCTTCCCTCAAGCCCCCAAGAGGGCGAAAAAGGCCTCGAATGGGCCAAAAATCAGCTGGGAGGTGCGTGCATGCACAGTGCAGGTAAGGGGGTGGGGGTGGGTTGCGCATGCATGCGCAGGGGCAGCAGGTTGCATTGTATTGTGGTTGCTGGCCCGTGTGCTATCGTGCACACGTGCGCTTTCAGCACATCACAACAAAAAGGTTTGCCATCACTTGTCTGGATGAATATATAAAGTAATAAGATTGTTAAAAAATAAGATATATTAAATAATATTTATAAGAAAATGTGATTATTGTTACATTGATAAGAAAAGTATTAAATATAATTTGTAAGCACAAGATATACGTACCCAGTCTACACATGGTTGAAATAAAATGGAATTATTGTAAAATATAAAATAATTTTTTTTTCGAAAAAAAAAGGATTGCAATTCTTGACTTTGATTTGTCCTCCTGGAACGGCAAACCAAACTCCTGGACTTATGACCGCAATTGAGCCCAAAGCTTCTGCTGCTAAAGGAAGACAGTTGTTCTGTGAATTTCCCTCTTTCTTGCCGCAGTTGTTAAGCGAATCACTTCAGTTCTTAAGATAGCCACACGGTTCTTAAGTGAATTGGGCTTCCCCATTGACTCTGCTTGTCAGAAAGTTGTAAAAGGAGATCATGTGACCCCTGGGACATTGCAAACCATCAAAAATACGAGTCACTTGCCAAGTGTGTGAATTTGGATCCCATGTCCAATGGGAAGGTTGCAATAGTCGTAAGTGTGAAAAATGAGTCACTTTTTTCAGTGCTGTTGTAACTTTGAACGCTCATTAAATGAACTGTTGTAAGTCGAGGACCGCCTGTACTTTTCATGCCAAGTGTTTCATGCATTCAAAGAAGGAAAAATGGCCGTGTAGCATTTGTCCATTTAGGGTTGACATTTGTTTCTTTTCTGATAATACAAGTAGTTCTCAATTTACAATGGTGTGATGACCCAGGGCATGGCACAAAGGCAACACAGCCAGAGAATAAATATAAGTTACTTTATTAGCTCCAATTTTGCCCCCAACATGCCGGTTACTCTCTGGTCTGGAGAAAAACTCACCCACGAACCTGCAACAGCCTTTGGCTGCAGATACTTCAGTCCAAATGTTGTAAATTGAAAACTTCAAAACATAAATCTGACAAGGCAAGATAATCTGGCAGAACAAGATAAGGAGTTCCAGAAGTGAACACAGCAATAAATCAAACTAGTTGGGAGGATGCCAGGAACTCAGATAACAGCAGCCAACACTAGGTGAACTCAGTGTTTGTTCCCGACAACCACCCCTCCCATCTGTCTTTCCTTTAAATTCCCTCCCCAGGTGTGCCTTGTGAAGGGAATCAGGGCCCTTTCCTCCCCCATAAGCCACGCAACCCACATTGCTTTCTTCTCTGTTCTTCCCTGCGTGCCCTAGGATGAAGAAGGGCGTGGACCTGGGTCTTCCTCTGAACCCCCTCTCCCTTGTTCTAACTCTCCCCTGCTCTGCCCAGCCTGACTTTGCCCTTCCCCAGTTTCCTCTACAGCCAATGGAGCCACTCTCCTGCCCCCTGATGGCTGTTCATCTTCTTCCCCCTCAGATTCAGACTCCGACGGGGGTCATGACAAATGGTTTGTTTAGTGAAAGATGAGTTTGTAGTTAACAATGGCCCTGAGAAGATTGACTTATGACCATTTTTCACACTTACGACCATTTTTCACACTTACGATCGTTGCAGCATCCCCATCATCATGGGATCCAAATCTGGATGCTTGACCACGGGTTCCAATTTATGACTGTTGCAGTGTTCCTGGGGTCGCGTCCAAGCAAAGTCAGTAAGGAAGCCTGATTCATTTAACAAACACGTTCCTCATGGAACAACTGCAGTGATTCATTTAGCAACCATGGTACAAAAGGTTGCAAAATGGGCAAGCTTCACTTCACAGCTGTCTTGCTTAGCAACAGCAATTTTGTGCTCAACTGTGGTTGTAAGGCGAGGACACCCTGTTCATAGGACAGGATTGTGAAGGGATAAAGAGAGAAGAAGGTATCAAAATAACTCCTTCTGGAGCCAATCTGATTTTTTGCATGCCTCTTTATCCACATTGGGGAGGGGAAGGAGCTGCAAATAATAATATGGAGAAAGGAACCTAATAAGGTCATTTTATGGCTAACAGACATATTTCAGTAGAATTACTCAGAGGATCACCATAAGGGAAAGTACAATGACCTAAGAATGAAACAGGAAGAATTACCTCATTCTCAGAGTATAGTCTGTGGCTCAATTAGCCAACGTGGAGTTGAACTTTAAACAATTCCGTCTTTTGAAAGTACTTTTTGAAAAGTAGAAGAAAACTTGTAATCTGTTCTCTGGAAAGGCTTTCATATGACAAGCCACTATAGGGGTTACCAAAATGTGATTGTCTTCGTTTGCTTGTTTGACCAGCTATTTAGTAACAGTACATCTATATCTATATATCATCTCTCATCCTCTATTATCTCTGTTTATAATTATGTATCATTTCTCTACCTATCATCCATCCATCATCTATCTGTCTGTCTGTCTGTCTGTCTATCATCAATATCTATCTATCTATCTATCTATCTATCTATCTATCTATCTATCTAT